GTCCAAGTCTTGGTACTGTATACTGTAGGAATTGGTAAGTCAACTTCAACAGTAGCAGTTCCACCTGGAGCTGCTGTATATGTGGTGGTCAACGTTGTGAGACCAGTCCAAGTCTTGGTACTGTATACTGTAGGAATTGGTAAGTCAACTTCAACAGTAGCAGTTCCACCTGGAGCTGCTGTGTGTGTAGTAGTGAACGTTGTGAGACCAGTCCAAGTCTTAGTACTGTATACTGTGGGAATTGGTAAGTCAACTTCAACAGTAGCAGTTCCACCTGGAGCGGCTGTGTGTGTAGTAGTGAACGTTGTGAGTCCAGTCCAAGTCTTAGTACTGTATACTGTAGGAATTGGTAAGTCAACTTCAACAGTAGCAGTTCCACTTGTAGCTGCTGTATATGTGGTGGTGAATTCTGTAGATCCAGACCATGTTTTTGTGACCGTTATTGTTGGAATAGGTACGTTCACTACTACTGTAGCAGTCTTTCCAGGCGAAGCAGTCGCGGTAGAAATAGATGTGGTGGATTTTGTCCAGACAACTGTGGTGGTAACAGTTGGAATTGGAACCTCTACTGCAACAGTTAAAGTGGCACCTGTTTTGTAAGAAAGCGTAGTAGTCGAGGTACCTATACCAGTCCATGTAGTAGTAACAGTTGTCACTGGAGTGGGGACATCAACAATAACAGTTTTAATAGAATCTGTCGAGCCCGGAGTTAAGGTTGTTGTGGTGAGAACAGATCCTGAAGTCAGCGTTAAAGTAGTTGTGACATAAGGATCAATTTCCTCTACTACAACATAGCCTGATTCTGAGACTGTTGTGGTGAAAAAGGTCTTCGTAGCTATATCAGAATAAGAAGTGGCAGATGTCGTTGGTAGTTGGAAATATGTTGATGATATCTCCGATGCAGGACAGAACTTTCCAGTATCTGCGAACTGGTAGACATTAGAAAAATCGGTATATACTCTACCATTTGGGTAGGTTACTTGTAAGGTCATTGCTGCTCTTTGCAATGCATTGGAGTAAACTACTCTAATGGGATAATAGGTATTTGCTGCAAGAACAACAGGAGCGCTTGCAGATCCGGCGTTTCCATTCCAAGCTTTGGAAGTGAAAATTACGAAAGAGGTGGCTTCGCTAGCAGTTGAAGTGTCGCAACAGTCGAAAGCAGCTCCATCACCCAAGAAGATCGCAGCAGAATCATCAACATATGTCAAGGAAAAGGTATAAGAACCTGCCGTACTGGCATAAAAGTAACCAGTTAATTCTGCTGTGAAGTTGGAAATTGTGATAGTTTTACCATAAAGTGAATGGGTAACCACACTGGTCAGGTATGAGCCATCCCAGTAGTTGAAATTGATACTGGTAATACCAGTTGCAGTTGTGAATGGCTGAACATTTGCCTTATATCCTGTCAGGACATAAGACAATTGGGCCATTAAGTCGGCATTGTTTAATGGGTATGGGTAGAAATTCACATTGAACCCTGTGGTTTTTTTTCCAGTTGGTACACAACCTGGGATATTTGCCAGAGCCAGACAAACACCTAGATTCGCAATACAGGAGATGAGAAATATAAATTGAAATATTGTAAATCTCATTACGTTTATGCGATGTTATAGACTATTTTAGCTGAATTTTCTAAGAGGAAAAAAGAGCAGAGAGTGAAAACCATGAATTAGATAGGTATATGTATATGTATTCAAGAGCATTTCACCTTGCTTGAGCTGACCTTGCTCATCTACCTTTCCAAGTAAGGTGAACATGCATTACGTATTTGAAATCGCTAAAATCGGTTGTTTTTTCTTTGCATGCTTCTGCTTCTGCAGCATTAAAAAATGTAAAACGTTACATTCGCAGACGCATTCTTACATAATCATAGGAAGGAGAATATTTTGCGAGCGATTCGAATAGTCCTATCTTAATCACCGGAATGAAGTCATTCTTCCGACATGTAAGCTGTAGATAGTTTATGTATGAAGCTTAAACGCCTTATTACAGTACAAGAAAGAATAATTGTACCGAACCATTTTTTGTTTAAATACAAATGGAAAGTTATCCACACAACGTTGAAAAAATATAACGGTATATTTTTTCTTGACAATAAAAATATCAAGATGAGGAGACAAGAGCAGTAGAAAAATGTCATCCATTAAATCTTGTGGGGTCAAGGCATCATACATACGGTCAAGACTTCTTTCACTCATTATTCATTGGCGAGATATATATTTTTTAGAGCTCAAATTGTACAAGCAAATGGCACTTCTGCAGGATCTGCATAAATTGGACGCACAGCTGCAACTTACACCCAATAGAGATAGCTCCTGTAACTAGTACCTGTCAGGCGACTTTTTGCGTAAATCTGTGTTATTTTTTTACTAGAAATCTGTACTAGCTAACGTAATTGTGCATCAATGCCGTACCAAACCGAACCAAACCATCAAAAACATGTTCTTGACGGCAAAAATACTTTAAATCTACACGACGATGAGCACGTAGTCGATAATATTACTATTTTTGTATACCATTGGATTCTTATAATAGAATTAATAGCAAGTTTGCTTAGTGTACTAGTATGCATCTGCATAAATACTGTAGGTGTTGTTGAATAAGAAAAGAAAATAATACAGAATAAAGTACTTGAATTTTTAGTTTCAGCGCAAACTCTATACATTGATACTTCAGAGGATGGGTAGTTGGTGATGTAAAAAGATTGGCTGATATATTAATTTAATCAGTTGATACTTTTAGCGTAAATGTAAGATTGAGCCGTAGTACTAAAATAAGTAAGCGATAAACATATGTGTGTGTTTTTTTTGCTTTCTGCAGATTCGATATGCATAGGTAGCCTTGTGTATGGAAGCCATTCACAATAAGTTCTGATCGTATTCCATTTACGCGAAATGAGAAATTTTAAAAGTTCCTTCCATTTGCGGAGAGTAATTTTTCAGTGAGATGAGATCTCGACGGACATTGGGTTTTTCTATGCATCTTGTTAGAAAAAATAACAAATAGTGAATAGATTGTGAATAGTTTCTTTGCTACTGTTTGATTCAAAATGATTGAAGTTATACTATCTTAGCTTACAGTACGAAACCTACTTCCAAATCCTGAACGGTGACTACGAAAGAATGACGCATCAACGTAGATGAAAATCCTTTTCGGCGCAAGTATCAATTTGCTCAACATGAAAGAAGTAAAAAATAAATGCACCCACATCTACGTCGTCCAAAATGGGAACAGCTAGTATAAATTTAAATTCTTGGAAAAAGGCCTTACTAAAAAATTTTCGCCAGTCTTAACGATATTTTAACGATAAATTTTTTATGCACGAATTACGTTACCGCCGATTTCAGCAAGATTTTCCGATTCTAGAGATCATCTAGATCATCCAGATCATCAGAGAGAAATATTTAAGTCATCAGATTTTTTTAGTTGCATATCAAATAATAATCTCAATTCACATGCTAATGAAGATTTTCGCTAACAGTAAAGTTAAGAAGCAATTTATTCAATGATTTATGTCTAAAAGAAAAACCATAACAAATGCGGCCTAAGGATAAGTCAAAGTGCCTTAAATTAACGTTTATGCGAAAGCAACTTTTCACATTTAGGTTTGCTGCATAATGTGCAAACCACTACAATATGGATGTATATTTAACTGCGACAGAGAGATGAACCTTAGAAAGTGACTCAAGAGGGCCCAACTGCGGAATTGCGAATCCTCCTAGTAAGTGGAAAACGAATTTTCGTATCATGATTTCTCTGCACCAGTTTAGTAGCTAGAAGGGCAGCTGGAAGGGCACTCAATTTAGAGTGAGGTCTTCTGTATTAAATCCGAAAAATTTGTATGGAACGCCTTGCCGTTTACGATGTTAGGCTAAATTTCGATCATGGACGAACAAAGGTGAGCACTTTAAGCAAGCATAGAGAAGCACAGTTGACCAAAAGTAGTTACTTTCCCGTTAAATTTACGTAAATATTATTTGTGAAGAAGTACTAGAAATATTACGAATGAATAGAAGCATTAGCCTAATGGACATTGAGCTGTTCATTCGATGATCAATTAAAAAACTATTGGCAAAGCCTTGGTATATTTTGCGTCAGGGTTCTCTGAACATTTCTTTTTTTTGATCCAAAGTTTTCTTTGCAGGAGTGCTCTAAAGGCCGAACGGAAGTACCCGAAGAGAAATTTTTACTTCAACTCTTTTCGGATGGAAGACTAGAGTTATAGTTGCCGACTTTTTATAATATAACCTGGGTTTTATCTTGCCAATAATATTATATAGAGATAAAAATGGGATTTATGTAGTATCAATTTCAAGTCACTCACCACATGATGAATGAAAATAGCTTTATTTTTTACTCAAGCTCCAGCCCACAAATTAACCGCATTGACAATTCTTAAATAATTCACTTGTAAAAATAATTGATTTTTACTAGAATGAAAGAATTCCTTTCGAAAAGATAACCATTAATTTTTTGTGACTCTACTTAATTTTTAGGAGAAAAAAAGGACGCTATACTTTCCCTCAAATCAAGTAGAAAGAATTAATATAGAGAAGTTGATGATAATTAACACTTCATTGTCCTGTATACAGACATTTTCAAGACTAGATCATAGTATTGATCACCTATTCACCAGTTCTTATTTATTCTCTGAAAATTGAGCCCTTGAATAGCTAGTTCCTCCGGGAGAAATATATAAGCGACTTGATACATTTGACCGAATGTTCTGTGAAAGCTTAGTTGTGGAGGAATTTGTTTGAAGTTGTTCGTTTTATGCACTTTTTTGATGTACGCAACTAAAAACTCTCACCTATCATCTTATTTTAAGTCTCACTATGTATATATAAGCATATCTTTTACTCTATTACTCTTCAGATGGCATTTTATTCAGTATTTCCCTCATTCTATATAATATAACTTCATTTCTGAGAGTAGCCCAAGTATTATCTTTTGTTTTTTTCTAACATTACTACTTTTCTCAAGAAACATAGTATTTAGTTTATTAAATTACTACTAGATATGACTATTTTTTTCTTCCCAAGAGCAGAAGAGGATTAGCAAAGAGAACTTGAGATGTTACTATTTTATATAAAAGATATTCTCTACTGGAACGAAGCTGCTTGCAAGTACATCCAACAAATTGATATTCGGGTGTTAAGGTTTTGAAAAGTTAGAGGCCATATGCAGTCGTTAAAAATACTCTTTCCTAAAGTGCCGATCTTTCAATGAGAAGAAAAAGTATGCAGGTACATGAAAGTAAGCTCAACTATTTTGATCGTACTTTTACATAGAAAAGAAGCTAAAGTTCTTGTATTTACATTTCATTTGAAGTATGCGTTATTATGGGTTCTTAAGTATGCTTACCCGCTTTTGTAACTCACATGAGCAGAATTTTCAGATTTCGAACTCTAAAATAAAAAATTCAATCTGAATGGGGTCAGCTAAAATCAATAATGCGAATAAGGCTATCTCTTTCAAGGGTAATATATTGCAATTAAGTCACTATATATTTATCTAAAGATTTTTTGAATCACCATTGCTGAAGTTCCTCATAGTATTCTACTCTGTCCTTTGAAGTGTCTAAGTTGTTTATGATGGCAACTCTTAGGTCATCAAGCATTGAACCATGAGCACAAGCAGCGATCCCAGTGGAACCTTCAGCTTCCACTAGTTCTTGTAGAACAATCTCTTCAATATTAGGTCTACCTTCGCAAAATTTAATGAAGCTTAAATCAGTTCTTAACTTACTAAAGCAGGAGTGATCAAAGTCAGTTGTAGAGCCTTCAATAGAAATTTTATTAACATCGTTCTCTGAGCCTCCCTTCTCTGAGTCCTCTTCAGAATCAATTGTAGTTGAAGAAAATGATTCAACCTGCGGTTGAGTAATGTAAATAATTGGCTGAACCCTCGTGTTCTCAAGCTTCTTCAATTCCGTATAAAACCATTCGATAGATATCCAATTACGAATAATCCAGTAAAGCTTTACATTTGACTTTCCGTTATTGGCCAAATGAACAGCTTCAGAGTATAGACCTGGAATTCCGTTACCACCAGCAAAAAAGATTGCATTTTTGAATCTATCAAGTGGTAATCTAGTTCCATATGGCCCTTCAACTGAAACCTTTATATTAGTAGTTTTGTTTGGCTGCTGGGCCACGAATCTGCACAAACTGTGTGTCATACCTCCTTTGATCTTCATATAAAAAGTGATTGAATTTGCCTCGGTGACAGAGTCAACAATTGTGAATGGGTGTGACTGCCAAAAGCATGTTGGTTTAAAAAAATGAACAAAAGCATGACAGCCTGGGAATGGTTTCCAGTATTTTGGTCGTGGAACTGTCACTCTTAGGGTTTCCCCAGCTACTAATTCAACTGATGCAGTCTGAACTCCGAAAGCAAATAACCTTCCAAATCTGAGAGCTCTATCCAAACCCCACACTGCAGCAGCAGCAAAGAAAAAGTTTTCATACCCTTCATCTTTAGTATGGATCCAAGCTCCCATAACGAAAATGATGGCAAATAATATATGGGTTCCGATGAAAACTTCATAGTATTTTCTTCTGATCATGGCAAATGATTGGAACATTAAAATTAAGCCTGCAACAATAGCAACGTAACCCCAAATCACATAAGGCTTTTTATTACGACTTACAAATTTTCCTAGAGCAACACCTGAAAATGACATCGCAACTGTATGGACAACTCCTGTCAAAAACATTGCTCTTGCTGACCATTTATGAAATATAACCATTCTGGAGAATTGCCATCCGGAAATCCATTGTAAAAAGTTGTTTCTACCTGCAAATAGGATAGTGGGAGGTATAAGGAATGTACAAATAATGCCAGACCTATCTGCAACTTTTCTTCCCATTTCAGCTTGTTTGGAATTCCAAATAAAATTATCAGCAGTATGATCAACGTGCGAGATATTAAATGCAATAGCCAATACATACCAAGCCATGACCACTATAGATTCCAATCTGGTTGGCAATAGCCAAATAAAACGATCGAAAATAGTGACCGGGGCAGCGTGTGTCTTTCCTAACAAAGCTGGAAGTGAAATATACCTTCTAAATGCCTTGGAAAATTTTCCGTTGAAAAGCTTGTTAATAATTACAGGACATATGAAGTAAGCTAAGTTGCATGTACCAGCGAGAAAGATAACGAAAAACCAGTAAGAAAGTAAAGCAGTGCTAAACCAGGTTGCATAATTAATATTAATATATCTAGTATAGTTTGATTCATAGGCCTTTTTAATTTTTTTCGTTTTCAATTTAAGTGGGTAGCTGAACAAACTCTTCTTATCAAAATTTTCCACTTCAGACACATCTACCAAATAGTCGCTAGCATTCAAGTAAGCTGCATTAACTTTTTCAGCAGTAAGATTGTACTTTTTACACAGATTAATAAAGTAATTCATCACCGGTTTGGCCAACTTTGTTTCATTATACCCTTGGATTATACAATGAGCCATAGTCCCCAAAGCTGGTTGGTTTTTGACATTACAAAATTGCTGCTTATCTTTTTTGTCAAAGAGAATAGCGTTTTTCTCTATAATATCTTTGCATGCTTTGTATCCAAGTTGATCTAGGTGGTGCACTAATTCAGGATCTTCCGCCAACGTGTACCCGAGATGAATGAGTAATACTAATTTGAAGTAGTTCATTGTGGACTTCAATATCATGCGGAGACGAAGGAAAGTGCAAAAGTCAAAAGAAAGGTTTAGTATAGTTTTGAATTCTCCCAAGTAAAACAGTTGTTTTTCCAGCTTGCATACTTATTTATATATACTTCCCTTTCTCATATTGACATCCAATCAAGGATTAGTAAGTAATATCTAAGAAAATATTTTGCAAAGGGTGCAGGCTTAGGCAAAACGCCTTCTCCCTTACGCTGCAACTGATCGATCTGATAAGTTTTTTTCTCTGGCGCATGCCAAATTTTCGTAGATCCTGGCCAAAAATGGAAATTGATGCACCAAGCTCTATCTTTGATCAAATTGATAAAAGTATAATTATGAAATTAATTCTTGGCAAGTTATGAAGAGAAGTAAGTTGATTTACTTTTTCAAAATCGGACAAGTCCAATCGATTCTTATTGGACACATGAATTCAATGAACTACATGGACGCAAGAAACACAACACAAAGATATTTTACATCGCTTTTTTCGACATTCAATAGAAACTCTCGTTATCATTAATAATTTTGGCTCTGAATAATTAAAAACGAAAGGCGAAGTAAATATATATCCTAAATTCATCATGTTCTGTCTCTAGCTGTTGGTGGATGTTTACTAAAACTTTGAGAGTGCAACTCTTTCTCGATTTTAAACAGTATTAAAAATCAAAAATTATCTATGGAGACAAATTTTTTCATTTTTTTTTGCCAAGAATCTACAAAGCTAATAATTCATGGCGGGATAGAGATGAAATTTTTCATCCATTTTATTCCAACTACAACATTATTTTCTGCAAAGGAGCCAATTTATCTGATTTAAATTGTGGTGTTATACCATCTGCCTCGGGAGTAAGAATTTACAATATTGATGTTTTTCAAATTGAACAGGTATAATATGTAGAGATTTTAAGAAGTCATCATCTTTTGAAATTATATGAAACCGAAAGCAGTCCAATCGTAAATTTCAGGATCTTTGTAAAAATTTACCGAGAAAATATTGTTTAATGTAAAAGGAAAGAATGTGACGTGGAAACGGGGCTTAGCACCTGCCCCAGGAACGAAAAAATTGAGCCAAAAAAAAGTTCAAGAAGTTCATCACTACGCTGAAATTGGGTCAGCCAATAGATTCTGGATTGTTTTAACATGGTTACAGGATATTATGGAATGTAATTCATATAATTATTTGACCAATCGGAAAAGAAGTCGTCGATAACTATTATTTAACCCGTTAATTTTTTACTTTATTATATGCAATACATGGATTTTACTTCATATGAAAACTGATACTTCATGTGGACTATACAATTGGACTCGTATTATTCTGAGGTCTTATTTTAAATAACTTAAACCCATCTATAAATCAAAATTTACAAATAAGAGCCTGAGATCGAAGAGAATCAAGCTATATTTTCTTTCGGGTACTTCTCGTTTTTCGTTTTCCTTCATCCGTTTAAAAAATTGTTAAGATTCATCTATTGAGGACATGTCCATTTAGGTCTATAGCTGACCCTTCCATGAGAGGAATAGGACTCAAGGAATAGTAATTTAATTCAATTTCTAACCTATTTAATATTATTCAATCCTTTGAAAGGATAATAAAGAAGGGAAGATGAAGTATCTGATCTAATCATTATTTCAAGCTTTAAAATTGTTTGGCATGGTAATTAGAGCACCAGCATATCTTGTATTTTTTTTTTTTTTTTAACTCTTTTTCGCTGACAAACTTTTACTTCATATTTTACTATTAGGACTTGATTACATTTTTCTATTGACCCAATCTCCAAAGTATGTGCAAAATCGACTCTTGCTATTATACCATCATATACGTGTTCAATTACATAAATTCAATAGGGTGTTAGGGTGTTAGGGTGTTAGGGTGTTAGGGCGTTAGGGTGTTAGGGTGTTAGGGTGTTAGGGTGTTAGGGTGTTAGGGTGTTAGGGTGTTAGGGTGTTAGGGTGTTAG